TCAACTTTCAGGTGAAACAGACTTGACACAAAGTTCACCACTGCAGGCAACCTTCATATTATTCCCTATTCTTCACCTAATGACTAACTAGAACATTTTTTCTATTACATTTAATGATTATTTAAAACTTATTAACTACGAATATTACAATCATATTTTTATCATATTTCTTTTCATGCAGCAATGGGCAAGTTAAAACCCATAACTTCAAATACAATCTAGCTGGAAAGACAAGACTCATGAAAATGAATGTTCACGGTAAGCACCAAATAAGTGGTGGAGAGAGCAAAATAATGTTAAGAAGAATCATTGGTCAAGGAATGCTTCATGAAGAATAAGGATAGGTCTTGAATGCGCCTTAAAATTGTACTTAAAATAAAATAATATTTATTATATGTGTGAAAGTTGCTAACAGAGTAACCTCAAAAGTTCTCATCACAAGAAGAAAAAGTGGTGATGGATCTTACTTAACTAGACTTATTGGAATCATTTCAAAAATATACAAATACTGAATCACTATGTTGTACAGTAGAACTAATATAATGTTATATGTCAATTATATCCCAACAAAAGAAAGATTGCACCGTCCAATAGGTAACAGCACATACAGCCTAAATTAAATTAAATTCTTCAGTCACATTTTAATTGCTTAATAACCTCATGTGGCTGATGGGTACCATATTGGACAGTACAAATATAGAACATTTCCATCATCACAGCAAGTTCTGCTGGACAGCAGTGCCTTAAAGGGTGGGTATAACTAAAATAAGCTGACACAAAGTGAGTACTATCATTCTTAAAAATTCCTACAATCTGTCAGGAACTATTGAAATTGTTTCACTCAAACTTTACAACAACCCCATATTTACAAGGAACTTTGAGGCTCAGAGAAGTTAAACCAATTTCCTAACGCCCCCTAGGTATTAAAAGCTAGGATTTAAACCCAATTCTGTCAAAACTCCTTATTTTCATTTCACCATGCCACCTCCTGCATGAAGTAAGCAGCACAGCTACAAGCTAGTTTGCTGTAGAACGTAATGAGAGTAGCGTGCTGGGTCTGTAGCTCAGAAAGAAACTGGGGAGCTTTAAGTGCCTGAGACATACAATCAAAGTGTAACGTCACTCCTTTCTTGTCCTATACGTGAATAGTGCTTTAATTGTGTAAAATGTTTTGGAGAGCAGAAGCATGTAAGGTTAACTAAGGGAACAGAGACAGGAAGCAAGACTATTATTTTTTTTTTAAAGCAGTTCTTTTTTTTGGGGGGGGGGGGATTAGGTCTTTATTTACTTTAATGGAAGTAATTGGGGATTGAACCCAGGACTTTGTGCATGCTTAGCACACACTCTACCGCTGAGCTATACCCTCCCCCCTCTTATTATCATTATTTCACAATTTCTTATTGTGGGAGTTTTAACATTGTCTACCTCAAAACTCCCTGTCCAAGTACTTCATACAGAAAAATAATTATAGATTTAAAGGTGTAACTTCTCTATCTGTCTCATCTCACAAACAAAACCTAGATTGCAAAGGGCCTGGTCTTTGTGTCCTTGGCACACAGCACATAGCCTACTACAAAAATCCTGATAATAAATATGTGATGCCTTTCCCAGTGTGTGACGCTCCCTGCAGGAGTCTAGTCTTGCTTCAGCAAGTGTCACCCTACCACATGAAGGCCACTGTATAGTTACTGAGTTATTTAGGGAGCTAAAGTAAATATTTTGTAAATTCCCCCATAAACACTCATTCACCCCTTCATTCTGTCCCCTGCGGCAATAAGTACTTCAATGGACTGGGGTGCTCAGGGCCAAAAACTACATTTTTTTATATGTGAAGAGATGAAGACTTGACACAAACTACAAATTGATAATACTAAATCAGCTGATGCTTCCATTTTAAGGTTATATTACCACTGAGTTATACTCAGTTCCATTCCACTCAGTGCCTACTGTATATCCCACATTATAGGATACAACAGTAACTCAAAGAACCTCCTATCTTTTTTAGATAGAAAAGACACATATACAAGTAAAACACAACACTTTAAGGCATCATATCTTGGTCAAAGTTCAAGTACTTGCCTGTGTGGTTCCATCAGGCTTTAACCATTCCTGCTGAGAACATCCAAATCCAAGCCCACTTGATTTGTAGGGGTCTGCAGCAGATTTTATAGGGGACTTCACGGAGCTGCTTCCAGGCTTGCACACAGGGTGCTGAAGACCTGGGCCTTCTTTCCACAGTGGATTCCATCTTTAACCTGAGGCAAAGGGAAGCAACACAAAACTTTGTATAGGAAATAAATGCTAAACTGCTTGCTTGGCATAGTTCTAGAAGGCAATACTATGGAACAGACTCTGAAGTTTTGTTTCCCACTCAGTGGCAGCTATTTTAGTCAAGAATACCTATTGTTTTAACCTCTCAGTGCGGGAGGAATCCACTTAGAGCACATATGAAATAAAACTGGTTAGATCAGAAATACTGACTAGTCATGCAGCTCACCCCAAGAGACCATCATTTCAAACAGTCCCAGTCCCATTGCTGGTGGAGCAAACAAAAATGAAATCAAAATATAGTACCTGAGGGCTTTGGGTCAAAACAGCAGGAAGGAATAATTTTCAAATTTGAAATTCAATGCAAGAGGCATTTAAAAGTTTCTACTCTGTTAACTTCATATTTTATCTATTTCATAAATACTTTGCCTATCTTAAAACTTATAAAGTACTGTCCACGTATCACCTAATTTTGCAAGTATTATATCTTCTCCATTTTATAGGTATGCAAGCAAAGTTTAAAGACTAAATGACAGGCAGCTTAGCTTAGTGGTTAAGATAATGGTTTGTGAAGTTGAACAGAACTGGATTTGAATCCTGGCTCCTCCATGTATTTGCCGTGACCTGGGGCAATTATGCAACTTCTCTAAGCCTCAGATTCCTTTTCCATAAAATGAGGACAAATACCACCTACCTCTTAGAAGTGTTATGAAGATTAAACTAGGTAAAATATAAAATGTTTTGCAAAGTACCTGGCATGTAGTTAAATGTTTCGTATGTTGTTTCTATTACTAAGTGTCCAGGCTTAACCAGCTAATGAGTAGGAATGCAAATATTCTGCCTAAAATTTCACACTTCTCACAATAATCCTGAGTCCAGACAAGTCACTCATAAAGGTCCTTCCAAATCCAAGAGTCTCTGTCTTTTGAGAAAAAAAAAGAGAAAGTTTGCCTCCCCCACCTCTCCCCCTCATTCCCTATTTAACATAGAA